GCATTGGCTTAGATTAAATAGTTATCTTTCCTTTAATGTGGACAATACTATGGCCCTTGGGCAAGCACAAGCTTTGAGTTACTCTCGAGTGGGAAGCTCGTTCTGTTGCAGCTCAACATCCTACTGCTTGCTAACGCCATACGCTACTTGACTCTATCAGACAGGCAACCTTACGGGCAATGAATATCTCTGTTTTCTGTCTGTCAAACAATTGATCCTCTCAAGTTTTTCAATAATGAAATTGTTCGTAATGTTTTGATATTGATTTATTGAATATGTGAGAAGAAAATTATGTACATATAAATTCTGTTTTTCAAACACACACACACACATTACAATGCTGAGTTATGCATGGAATGCTTTCATCGGTTGGCCCTTTGTGACAAAACAGAAGGCTTGCATGCATATACTATAATCGATTATGTTAGCCAAATTAAATATGTGTCTGGAATCATGCTTGCCAAAGACAAAATCATGTTTTAGGACATTCTGGAACTCTTTCTTCTACCAGTAAGCCCAACGTTGTCTGGAGGAAGCCTGGTATTGTACGAGCTGATTATATGAGTTGATTGGGGATATATTGGAAGTATTATGAATATCAATCAAATGGTTGACATGAGATAGAGACGCACTCATATGGTGATGAATAAAGAGTACATTACACGGCATGAGAACAAATTATTTACAATTCAAAAACACTTTAGGAAACTAAATCTAAAGAAATCCCCTGGCATCTTTGACTGTATAAACCGATACATGATGCAATGACTGGGACTTGTGAACAGCGAATATGGAGTTTGAGATTGTCTCTTTTTCACTTGCTGTACTATCTCTTCCACAATTCTGAAATTTGTTCGCTCTGGCACTGCATTGAATTTTTTTTTTTTTTTTGGTGGCTTGGGGGGGATTCAGAAAATTGTCCTTGGTCGAGATGTGAATGAGAAACGATCTTAATCTTCAATTCAACTTCCAAATGAGTGATATTTCTGCCTTCTGAGGCAAGTTCTGGTTGAACTTCTATCCTGAAGTACTTGTTACTAAATGAAACTTCAGAAGGCTGCCACACTGTACTATGGTGGAACAATTTGATACACTCTTTGGGCCTGACCATTTACCCTGATATATGTCGTCATGAAAATCAAATTAAGTTGGAGGTTACAACATTTTTATCAGATTTTGGATTGTGGACTATTCATGAATTGATGGCAGTAGATCAGACCACCCTGAATCGCCACTTGCTGCACGGTGTTTCAGTTTGTTATTCAGTCCTTTTCTCAGGCCTTCAAATTAAAACGTAATACCATGATGCTCCCTGCTGTACAAAGTCAACAGTTTCTCGTAGAAAGCACGTGATCCCATATTTCTAGCTGTTCAATAACTACGTATCTACAGATTCTAATAATTTTACCTCCACCTACGTACTCTGAAAGACATCAATTAGTGAACTTTTCTGTGCCTTTCTAAAGAAAATCATGCCTTTGCCTCGGGAATTTGGATGTTTTTTCCTTAGAGTGTGTTTGATCCAGAAATAATGTTTGGCATGAACATATATACATAAACTAGTAATGCTAGGTGAATTAATATATTGGTGACTTGCTGTGTCAACGAGACATGCATGGGAGTAACAAGGCAACTGAGACTCCACTAACTGGAAATTAAACCCACTTCTCAGTCATCATCGATCTGCTAGTGCTAGTTTCTTCAAATACGCTAGAGGATGTAGTGATTTGAATGAGGAAGGCGCAATGGGTCAAAAACACATTTTTATAGATGAATGCTAATATCTTTGAGAAGAAGCTATAATGAAGACTTCCAAATTAAGCAATGCTTTATGTACTTGCCGGTATGTCCGTTGGCTTTTCTTTGGCCCTAAAAACAAGAAACAAATAGAGAGCGGGGAAAAAAGGAATTGTTTGTTTCCTTTGTGGTGTTTCTTAAATCACTTTTGGGCTAAAAAGCCTAATCAGTAGGGGAAAAGCACTCTGTTCTGCAATTTTTTTCGCCAGGTAAAAGAGTCACAAAATGTCAAACACAATCTTTAAATTATGTACTCGATATTTTGCAATGATGCCAGAAACGATATGTTTTTATATCCCAACTCATTACATTCTATCATCATACTTCTTCTGACCTGTGCTTATAATTATATTCCTCAGGTCTTTTAGGCCTAATTATCCATCATTTTATTTTCTAGTGACAGTGAGTCTAATCTGTCTGTGACATATTATTTTTGACATCCTGCTTCTTCATGAAACAAAAGGGATCATTCATGTTCAAACCACCAGAACGGCATTCTATTTTAGCCAAACACCAAGCACCATTGTTAACTACTAACTTGCCTTTTCTTTCATTTCCTTGTTCTGGTGCCCATTACCATATCAAGAAATCAAGCTTCTTGGTTAACAATATTTTCAGAGTGAAATGTGTCGTTTAGCCATGCGTAGTTAAGATAAGCTCTCAACACAGACTCAGTGGATTCTATTATGTCTAAATTGAAGGTAGAGATGATGACAGTAGGGTCTTGCCTTTAATAATTAGCTAGGATGAGTTGAAACTCAGGTTCGTGTTAATATTATAGAAACAACAAATAATAGTTATATATATATATATATTTTAGATATGTAATGAACACCGATATCTTGGGACATGGCTGGTTTTCTTTTAGCTTGCTTTCCCTTTTAAGGAGGAGGCAGGTCCTGTCGGTATGAAAATAGGTTATGCTTAGAATAAAATTCAAAAGCCTTTTTTATTACTCTGCAAAAGCATTCCAGCTTCAGTGTCGGACACCCCATTAGTTGACCAATAAAGTATTAACATGTACAATTAGTATGATCATTATCTTTCTCTTCATTTTTCCCACGTTTCTTTCTTTGTTGATTACCACATTATTTCAGATTTATCTATATGAGACTAAATTACTCTCGTTTTCCCTGAAATTTACTGAAAATTTCCCTTCCAAAAATTAACTTCCATTTGATTAATTTAATTCCCTTGATATTTGATATATATAATAGGATAAATGAAGATAATTCAACTAGACTAGAAGAAAGGATTTGTGTAGTTGACGTTAATTATAAGTTGTGGGTGGGCATAATTAGGTGAATTATGTTGGGCTGGACCAATTGCGAGCTGGAAGGTTTTGCATAGGTTCACGTTTTGACGATGACCAAAGCGAAAAAGCAAAAGGGTTGAGATGCATTATGAGGGTTTTTTATTTTCTTTTTTGGAGCGGTTTCATGATGACGTTTCTGGAAGCCGTCCTTTAACACCAATTTTACTGCATCTAATTTTCCTTATAATGATGGTCATTATCACAGTCGACACACATAACTGCCTCCACAACCAGAGAATATTGAGAATCAGACTATGTCCTCCGGTCCTCATGGCTACATTTGTTAACGATGATGATCAGGTCGCAAATTGCACATTTCTTTTTCTTTTTCTTTGGAAAAGGGATGTGTTTGTATGATTAGTGAAACTGGGAATCTGTATACTGAAATGTAATCATGGCTTAATGGAAGGAGAGGTTTAGCAGTTTGCCCATAATGTGTGCGGAACCAGCCATAATGATTGCGGGTTAGCATTTTGCTGCATTTTGTCAATGTCTGTCATAATTTCTAGCTTTAGATCTCAATTTCAACCTAGCAGGAGCTAATTAAAGCTTAATTAATTTTATAGGACCACTTTTTTTTTTCTTTTGTAGAGGTGTATGGATCACGGTGAGCATGGTATGGTCACAAAAATACATGCGTTCTGAGTTCGATCTAACACAGAGGCTGAAGATTTCTGAGGGATGATGGTTTTCCAAATGAAGAGGACGCTTTTGACTTGCTGTATGGCTTTGCGTGCAAATCTTCGGCAGCTTTATTCTGATTCATATATGACTCTCGTATTTTACGGCTTTATTCATTACAACTTCTATCAACGTTAATGGTGATGGTCTCTCTCTTTCAGCCTTCTTTTCTCTCTTCTTGATCATCTCCTTTTTATTAGTTCCTTAATTTTATAGGGAAGCCCCGAGAGAAGAATACTAAATTATCTACAGCTACCCAGCTTCACCTTTGATTGTGTTATCAAACAGTGTCAGAAGGAAGCTGACCACCACGCGCACATAATTAATCTGCATGCAAGCTGAGCCTAGTAAATATGGAGTTATGGAGCTGACTGATTTTGCTGTGGGTGCCACACCGAAAGAAAGACGAGTGCAAGCAAATTTACCTCACAAATATATATAGCTAAATCAAAAATAGTACAATATATGTATGAACACCAGACAGATGCGACAAGATCTGGAGTTTTATCTGATTAACATGACACACAACCATCAACAAATGCGGCACGGCCAATAATATAATATATAAAATATTTGATACAAATTCTACAGTTGCGGGTACTCGGAGGGATGATGACATGCATTTCCTGAGTTGGATTATTGACTAGTAAAATAGTAAGTGACCAACATATTGACGAGAAAGTAGGTCAAAATCGAAGGTAAATATTGCGATCATGTGATTGGGAATAGAGACAAGGTAAAAGGAAATGAAGGAGAGGGAAACCCTAGAGTAAGAGGTTAAGGTAAAAGGGTAAATTAATGAAAGGAGGATGGCCCACACGAGATGAATCAGAGGGCAGCGAAAACAGCATCCCTCATATTACGATAGGTCAGGCTCTCATATTCACCCTCTGACACTTCTCTCTCACTCTCACACCCACGCCCTCTTTCATTTCTCATCTCATTCTCACATGCCCTCTCCCACACGAGCGTTCTCCTCTCTCTCTCTCTCTCTCTCTCTCTACTGCTTTCAAATAATACATACATACATATATATATACATACACATATATCCATCTTTTCAGACACAACGGAAGCTGTATCATTCGCTGTGTTGTCTGTATTCTATGGGCTTTCCTTTTCCTTTTCTAAATAATTTGAGTATTAATTTGACCACCTGTTCTAAAAGACAGCAAAAGCTAAGCACCATGTCACCACATGATTTTTTCAAGAAAGAAAAGAAGTCGTCGTCTTCATTCAAACTCGTGCTGATGAAAACAGATACTTGAATAGGAAAATTACATAAAGAGAGATAGAGAGGGCAGGGTGGGGGGATCATCTCAAAATCTTTAGCTCGCTACAAATTTCCTGTACTATCAACATCGTTTGTCACCTTGTTTCAACCAGAGAAAGAGCTCCCAAAAAAAAATAAAAATATAAAATTTACACTTCATATGTGCCGGAATACATCATAAGTCGCTGCCGTTAGATCTTGTGAGAATGACGTTAACGGATAGGTGTTGAAATCCATCGAACTGTGGTTCTGAAGCTGCACTGCTCCTCCCCACGAGCATGTGTTCATCAGTCCCTCCGATTTCATCCCGTTTGCTTGAAACTGAAACGACGCTTCCATCTTGTGCTCTCCCTCCCACAATACGATCCCTCTGTTATTCTCCATCATATAACTGCTCATGTTCGAGCTGTTATTGCTTGAGCAAATTTTTGAACCCGAATTGTTGTTGTCTGAGAACTCCGTGATCGTTGACAAGTTGTTCTGATCCGAACTCGTCAAACTAGGCATTGAGCAGATCCCGTAGCTTGAACTGGTTCCATACTGATACTGGCTCGAGTATGAATCGTAGTACGACAGAGGGTCGACGACCCATTCATGAGGCTTGTTGCTCATGCTCATGAGGATTTCATCTCTCGAGGCTTCTGTTAGAACAGATATATCGTAATAACTTGAATCGGTTGTCAGAAAAGGTGACCCTTGTGACTGTGAGGAGGCCAAGTTTGTGAGATGATGTATATTTTGCAGGGATAGTGGTGGTGGTGGTGGTGTCTCTATGCTATTGTTCTCCTGCTTTATTTGAGGTTGAGCGAAGGGCTTGTGGGTGGCTGGGTCAATCCCTTGCTTCAGCAGCTTCTTCTTCAAGCATGAGTTCCAGAAGTTCTTGATTTCGTTATCTGTTCTTCCTGGTAACTGTGCTGCGATCTGTGCCCACCTGAAAATCCAAAGTACATCTCAGTTCAGAAAACAACTCTCTGCAAATAACAGTTTTGTTTTCCATCTCTTTTCTTCAATAATTATTATTACCTATTGCCCAGAACTTCATGGAGACTCAGAATAACATCTTCCTCTTGCTGGGAGAACATGCCTCTTTTCAAATCAGGCCTCAGATAGTTTATCCACCTCAATCTACAGCTCTTTCCACATCTTTGAAGTCCTGCAACTCGAGAAACAAAGATGAGACACTCACACTCTGCTTCTATATAATCAATGAAAACTGGAAGAAGAGAGAATATTTTAGGAGTTACCAGCTAGTTTTGGAACGGAGCTCCAGCAGCCAACGCCAAATCTAGTTATGTGGTTGAAAAGCTTCTCGTCTTCTTCAGGGGACCATAAGCCTTTCCTCAACTTTTGCTTGACACAACAGGAATGGCGACCCATTTCTGTGAGTAGAGGACCAGAAGGACAAGCTCTCAAGCGAGACGCAACTGTTACCTGCAAATGCTTGTGTCACAGAGACGTTTTCAGAGTGGGCAATATATGTATGTTGTGGGGAGGGGAAAACCCAAGAACTAATTGTGTTGATTTAAAAAGATGCATAAATCATACTTAGAATTTAAGTTATGAGAGAGAGGGGAAGAGAGAGGGAGGGCTGGGGGGGAAGGTGAAGCAATCAAGTGGGTTTTACGCAAATCCGACGCTGCTTTTGCATTGGACTGGATTGGCTTTTAAGATATCCTTATTTCAAGGGGAAAAAAATATTAATAATAATAATATTATATTATTATCATAAAGCAGAACAGCTTTGTAAATGTGCCCCATAACCTGTTTTATTAAGGTTGATGAGTGAAAGTCATATATATTCTCACTCTACTTTTTTCCTCATTGGTCTGAATGTCGTTACATAAATGTAATAGAGACATGAATCTTTGAATATCTTACTGCGCTGCCTGCATGTTTATTATTCATTGTGCAAAACTTTTCCTTTACCTTAAAGTTCTTTAATTAATTAGGTGGTGATAAAGCAGTTCGGATACATGCAAGTTCTTTTTTAAATTACTTTTTGAACACAACACAAGCCCAGTTGATACCTTGTCGACTTAAGAAAAAAATAGTTTCGCGAGTAAATTATTTTATTCTGTAAATTATTTTATTCTTGAAAAATATAAACTCTATTTTTTTTTTGGCCAAATATCAACGTAACTCTCTATTCGATCCTTTAAAGCAGTGCAATCCTATATCTCAATTATATATAAATATGTATATGTGTACATATAGTCAGTTTTTTTACATTTGATCTTTTGGAAAAACAGAAAACTAGACTAAAATCAATGGGAGGTTTTGCAGTATAAAACATCTCTTTGAACACCACGAAACTATTTCTTGTAATTATTAATCCATTCTAAAAGCATCATATTAATTAATTGTTCGATAGCTAGTTTTCTCGAGATATGCAGAATTGATGGATATTGAGAATTTTATCATTTGAAAAGTTTGTGAAGTCATGTTCTTTTTCTATGTTTGAAAACTGTTTTTTTTTTGTTTTTAAAAACAGAAAAATGTAAAATTTTATTTCAATAAATTTTTTTAATTTAATTGTTTTCAAAATTATTTTAATTTTTTTGTTTTTTTAAAAAATAGTTAAGTTGTTTTTGTTTTATTTTTTTATTTTTAAAATATACTAAATTTAATTATTAAAAATTATAGTTACCTTGATCAATTTATATTATTAATCACCACCATTAACTGCTTATAATCATCACTATCAGTTTATTTTTTAATTCTAAAAATATTTTTTAATTGATATAACTAAACAGATTTTTATTTTATTGCACACTTTTTAAATTACTCCTCATAATTTTATAATTTATATTTATAAAAAATAATTAATGAAGGCTTGATTAACACAATTAATGAAGAGTATTATAATCTAATTTTTTTATTTTCAAACACAATTAATATAGTTAATTAATTTTTTTAAATTGTATGATATAAGTTTTTTTTTTCATACAAATAGAAGCAGAAAGAGTATAGTACAAAATGTTTTTTTTTTTTAATGGGTGTAAATCTTGTTGTTGTTGTTATTTACAAGATGGGTAGAACTGGGAGGCCGTCACCCCATCCTGCTGGCAAGGCGGCAGGCACTGAGGTTCTATTAATAATGGAGATATTATTAGAGATGTCCAATATAATTAACCCCTGAGATTATCACACAAACCCTTTTTTTTTTTGGCTAAAGAAACTTAAACTGAGAATTTTAAATAGCTTTAATGGCTTGAAACGCCATCCCCTAACCATAAGTAGCGCGAGTTTTCTTTCCCATCATTGCTCATTTATATGCCAACTGATTACATTGCCACATCGCTTTTTTTCTTTTTTCCTTCTTTCTTCTTCTTGGTTTTTTTTTCCCCCCGGTTAACGGCACATTCATTTTTCTATCACCAACCTTTATTTTTTTTTCATAAGAATTGATTTTATGATCCCCCCAATACTAACTATAAAAATATCTTACTGGAAAAAATAATAAACTTGATTAACTTCCATTTTTGTCTCTTTTTTACCCTAGATGAAGCATTGGGCTATTGACAGAAGAGGTTAATATCTTGGGATATACTCCCCCCATTTTAAATTATAAGATATTTTTAAAGGACTCAACATTTCAAAATATAAAACATTTTAACAAAAATAAGATTATCTTTTATTGACAAAAGAGGATATATTCCCTTTGTTTCAAATTATAAAACATTTTTTAAAGATTTATTGTTTCAAAATATAAGACACTTTAACAAAAATAAGATTTCATTAATTATAAATTTTCAATATTACCCTTCCCATTATATTAAATGGAGTATTAAAAATAAATAAAGTTTGATAAATGAAGTATTAAATGAAGGAGATTTTTAAAAATTGATATTTTTATTTTGAACAAAATAAAATTTGAAAGTGTACTCTCTCCAATCCTATTTGTGAAACACCTTCAAAAATAATTTTTAATCCAAAATATAAAATACCTTGTAATAATTAAATTACTTTTTACAATTTTATCATTTATTAATATAAAGATATTTAATATAGTTGTATCATTATTTAAACTAAGCATAAAAATAAAAGTATATTTTATTTTTTTATAATATAAAAAAACTAAATTTTAATACAATAACAACTAAAGAGAATATTTAATAAATTTTATTAATATATAAAATTTTGTATTAAAATATTTTATAACTTAAAACAGAGTGAGTATCATATACAAGATAAAAAAAAAAAAACAAAATACAACAAGCATGTAGAAGCAGAACTAATATGGGGAATAGGAGTACTCATTCAGGGAGACTTTTATTTTATTTAGCGCGCTTTGTGGTCTTTCCTGGTTGGGCCCAGATTAGTTAGAGTTTTAATGAGGCCTTGGGATAACAAAGAAAATGGTGATTTATACGTTTGTGGACTTTCTATTTTTTATATTTTATATAGAAGTCAAGTCTAATATTTAACGTTAGAGACACGAAGATCAGGTGATTTTTAGATGCGAAATTACAGATTTTCTTGCCATATATTTTGCTTTTTCATCAGAAATTTATGTGCTTATTTAGACTTTTCTTTGTATTTTTATGATTTCAATAATTATACTAAATCGGGTTTCCTTATCCAAGCGTCTAAAATACTGAAAACAAGCTGACACCAGTACATTACGGACGTGTGGTCTCCATTAACAATTTGACTCTGATTTTCTTGAGGGAAAAAAACAACAAAAGTATCTAGAATTTGTTAAAGATTAATTGCAACAATATAATACAAACTCTGCCATCTAATTAGAACTCAAATTTTATATATCAATTATGACAACTTTTATACGTATTATAATTTTCAGAGATAATCATAGCAATTGCATGTTTTAAATCGTTCGGCTATTGATGGCATCACCGGGAAGTTCTTCACCGAGCAATAATAAAGATGATAAATATATTTGACAAAGTCGAGTCCCTTTTTTAATCATGATTTTGGCTTAAAAATTTAAATTATTGGACTTTTAATTCTGCAAATTGTACCATGAGTTAAATTTCACAAGCAAGGTCTCTTTTAACTAAACAGGGTATAAAGTCATAGACTAGCAGTTTAGTCCATATATTACATTTAAAAGATTAGCCGAGGCAAGACTTAAAAAAAAAAAGTGTTTTTTGCGAAGTCAAACTCAAATGGTCAGATGTTTGATGATAAATTGCGATTTTATATTGGTGTTTACCAAAAAGAAATTATCTTGCAGTTGATAGTAAGTGCGTTACTGTTTCTGGGTTTTTGAACAAACTTTTAGGGGGACACAATTCGTCACTATCTTGTAGCGGGAGTCATTTGCTAGAAGCCTAGAAGTGATAAGCCAATTACCTCCTCTTTTTTTATTTACGGTCAACAAAGAAGGCGTTACTCTGTTTACCCAGAAAAAAGAAGAAAAGAAAGGGTTACTCACTTACTCTATCTGTCTAATATTAGAGGGTATTTTTAATTAAATTATATCTTACAGTAAATTAATTAATTAATTTTAAAATTATACATCTTTTATCTTTACTCTTATTTAATAGAATATATTAATTTAAAAATATTATTAATTACACCACTGATTAAGGATATTTTAAAAAAATTTCATTAATCACATTTTAAAAGATTCAAAATATTTTATATTTTTAAACATTTTGCCTAAAAAAGCCTTGTATTTTTTAAGGAGGGAGTACTTATTGATAATAAGATGGTTCTCCATTTCAAATTAAATCCATACTCACTTAAAAAAAAACCAAAATATTCAATTATTTACGAGAGAATTGGTGAAAAGGACCTAGTTATAAGTATTTGGTCAGTCTCAGGAATCAAATGTACTTGAAGGATCAAGGTTAATATTTACTCATTAAAAAATTTGAACAAATGACCAAAATGCCATTCTACATTAATTAAATCTTTTAAAAAATGTACAAAATCTGATTATTAGAGCTTCAGCTCCTCCTCCAACCATTGACAGTATGCTTGCTGAAGCTTCAATTGCAAGTGAAAGTGTCACCAAAAAACATCAAAACCTCTTGATTATATGTAATTATGAAAGATTACATATAAATCCAATAACTAAAGGGTACAAGAATTTTGACTAAAGGTGCAAAGGTTTTGGCTTAAGTGTAAGGCTTTTGATTTTAAGTATAAGGAATATGGCTTAGGGTGCAAGAGGTATGGCTTGGATGTGAGGCTTTTGACTTGAGTGCAAGAGGTATGGCTTGGGTGCAAGATTTCTGACTTAGGTATAAACGTTCTGGCTTGGGGTGCAAGACTTATGGCTTAAAGTGCACTTGTTATGGCTTGAGTATAAGGGTTTTGACTTGAGTGTAAGAGAGATTGTTAAGGTGCAAGTCTTCTAGATCAAAGTATATGTGTTATAGCTTAAGGTGTAAGGCTTATGACTTATGTTATAACAACGAGATTTACATGTAATCTATAGTCATTTTCATGTGATTCTCGAACATTGAAGGGCATCCCTATGTGTGTTTAATTTACATGTAATCCGTTAAAGATTACATTTAAATCACTCCTCAATCATACTCGCGAGTTTCTTCACATATTGATT